ACCCTCTTGCTTGCCTGCAGCTGTTGCACTTGCCCAGACACTGCTTCCCACTTCCTTGTCTCCTCTTCTCCCACTCACCCACAAGCCGTCTGGGTTGGTTTTCCCTTTTTTAGGCTAATGGCATAGGTAGAGTAAGGTATGCTACCTTGGCTGCCTATGGATTCTTGAAAAAGCCAGTGTGTGCCTAAACTAGCCAGCTAGGGATATTGTTATGCCGGTTAAATACTGGGGTGTAGCAGACCGGCTAGCTGGGGTGCCAGTGTGGATGCCTGTGGAGAGTCTGTGCTGGTCAGTCTGCCTCTCTCAGCAGGCGCTTCCCCTCTCAGGTTCCAAGACTGTAAAAGCCAGGACTGTAAAACTTCTATGTCCCTTAAGCAATGAAATACTTGCAGATCACCAACAAATATTGGATTAACCAACAAATCTAAATACCATATGGGTAATATATTCTAAAACACCATTAAAAGCTTCAGGTACTGTAAAACCTACCCCGTTTCTAGCCAAAACATATCTCTATTGAACGTTAAAGATATTTGGTTAACATAACTGAAGTCAATAAGTCTTGATCATGAGTCAATCGTTTTTATAAAACTATAAATAAACAATACATTAAGAGAATACTTTAAATAATATGTAGTTAAACGCTTAAAATTGTTTCAAATACTTAAAATTCTATGTGTAATGCTGTAGTTTAAAATTGTTTCCAAATTAAATTGAATTGTACATCAGAATTATTTTTTAAATATGAAGTTATTCTATACATCAAGGTACATTCCCACAATTTGGTTAGCCGTTCTTCCATAGAGGGGATTAAAGATCTTTTCCAATAAAGGGTGTATAAAATTCTTGCAACTATTAAGATATACAACGCCAGTTCATTATATTTTGAAGAATGTATGGTTTAGTGAAGTTTAATAAAAATATCTCAGGATGAAATGGGATTTTTGAAATTTTCAAAATTTGTTCCATTCTACAATGAATTAATTTATAGTATTGTTGAGCTTTGCAACATTGCCACCCACATATGGAAAAAGGATCCGATTTGTTTATTGCATTTCCAGCCTTTCACAGAAAAGGCAATCATGACTGGAATAATGTACCAGCAGTAAAATATCTTATACCAATTCCAAGTTTAACGTTCGCAGTAAATATTATTTTTGCACTGAAATTCTCATTATTCCATCTCTATGACTGTACAGGTGGTCTTCAGTTAACAACCACTCGTTCAATGACTCTTTGAATTTACAGTGGTGCTGAATGAGTGACACTTAAGTCCAGTCTTTGAAGTTCTGACTGTTGCGCTGCCCCTGTGGTCACAGGATCACATTTCCAACTGCCACAATGTCCTGTGGTCATGTGATTGCGATTTGGGACCCTCCCTGCTGGCTTTCCACAAGCAAAGTCAATGGGGAAACTGGCAAAAAGTCAGAAGTCGTGATCATGTGAGGTCCTTGTCACGTGATTCACTTAACAACCAGGGACTGCCAGAACTGCCATTGCAAAGTGGCCCAGTCATGGGACAACTGTGCTTTACAACAGCGTCATTTAGCAACAGAAATTCTGGTCCTAATTACCGTTGTTAAGCAAGGAATACCTGAATTCAAATTTTGCATCCCTTTAGTCATATAATCTTTGACTTGCTAGGGTTTTGAGTCACATTTCACTCATAAATTATAAACTGTGCAAAACAAATGTTCAGTATTTTAAGTTATAACATTTTCAAATTTAATCAATTCTCAATATTCTGCCTTATTTTCATAATTGTTTTGTTGCTGCGCTGTTTATTTGACAGTATTGAAACCAATTAAGTGTGGAAGAGCGCTGCATAGCAAAAGACTGAAAAGATCTTAATTTTCTCCTGTTAATAATAAAATCTTGTTATCTGAACAAATTGTTCTCTCTCATTTCTGGTACCTTCCTCTTCATAAAAAATAGACGTTCAGTAACAAAGCAAGAGGGAAAAAATCTGGACTTAGTCTCTTCCTGGATTTGTCCCAAACATTCAGTAAGTTTAAACATTCAATATTACGAAGTACCTTGAAAACTGATGTTCCTGTGCATATCAATTCAAATATATTTATGGAACCCCCTGGAAGGCCTGCCCCTTCCATAGAGGTGCTGCAACCATAATAAGGAAATATATTCTGAAATCTATGTTAGACAGCTGGCATGATAGTATAATCTGAAATTCAGAGCCACTAGGCTGCCTTGTTCTTTTGAATCCTGCATCTTGAATTTAATCCTTGGCCTTTTATTACATCATATATAATTAATTACTTGTCTGTGCCAGTGGTTTAATACCTTGTACACAACAGAAACTGGGATCATTTGAAATAGAAAATTTAGTCTTGGTAAAATATTCATCTTAAATGCTGCAATTCTGCCTAACCAAGATAAATGTAATCTCTTCTATCTAGAAATATTTGTTATACATGTCCAGTTTAGTATATAATTGTTCTTAAATATATATTTATTTTAAAAAAACCCTAGATATTTGACCTTCTTAACAGTAATATTAAACCTGTTAGCCAATACACAATTGCTTTTCACTACCTGTCAAATTCCTATCAACACTGAGTTTTCTCTTTAATTCATTAGCCTGACCCCAAACCATAATATTGTACATGGTCTATCAACATTTTTTAGAAGACTCCACATTGAGCAATTGCTAGTACAATTTCATCAGCAAATAATTTCAATTTATATTCTCGTGAAGCTAATTGGACTCTTAGGATCCTATTTTCTTGACATATTTGGATTGCCAACAGTTCCAATGCTAATAAAAATAAAGAAGGACACCCGCCCCACACACACACTCACCCACACACCCTCTGGATTGACTTTCCTTTTTCTAGGCTAAGGGTGTAGATGGGTAAGGTGTGTTAACCTGGCTGCCAATGGACGTTGACACCTTCTTGAAAAAGTCAAGGTGTGGCTAAGCTGAGGTGCCAGCATGAATGCCTATGGGTGAGTCTGTGCTGATCAGTCTGCCTTTCTCAGCAGGCTGGAGGCAACTGAGCTTCCAGGACTGTAAAAGCCAGGACTGTAAAGCTTTTACAACCTGAGGGGTGGGGTGGGGAGACAGCCTAGCTTCAGGAAGAGTGTAGTGGGGTGGGGGAGCAATTTTGCCAGGCTGCAGTCAGGTAGCATTTTTGCCAGGTAGCATTTTCAACGCTGCCCTCCCCAAGCACAGAGGGCACTTTTCAACCTCACTCCCCTCTCAATGCACCCATTATCCTAACTTGTTATATCAGTTAGCCCTCATGGTTGTTAAAATGTAGAACTTTTACCAGGCATTGATATATTTTAATATTCATGTTAAAGCATGAGTTATCTTGGACATTTACTTTTGCAGAAACCCATCCAATAAATTTAGAAAAAAAATGAAGTTCCGAAGTGAGGTAATGACAACGGTGAGCAAATTTTCAAGGCCAAATGAATTCACAGTCAGCAGAAGTGCAGACCATTCAAAGGGACGTGTGACCACAGAAAACCATACATAAAAACAGATGCTTGCCAATCGCCGAAATAGCACATTGCTCACATCCAGCTATACAACTTCTTCTGACCTGAAGGCAAGGGGAAAGTATTTCTGAAAATAATTCTGGGCATGTGTGTAACACTGTATTTTTTTGCCACTGCTTCAGTGAAGAACTAAATGAAAAGAGGCAGACAAGGATACCACATTCCTGGCAGGAAGATTTTATGGTGTTCAAATACCTCTGACTGAAAGATGTCTACTAGCCCTTCTTAGGAGCACCTTGAGAATATATTTCATATACAAAGAGGTAGCTGAGGAACAATTCTCTCTTGTTGTAAAATCAGAAAAAGTGATTTTCTTGCTCTAGCTGCTCTAGTAACTAGCAGCCCATGGAGGAGATTGTTGAGGTTTGAAAGTTTACAGTCGTTAAAACTGTAAATAAATAAATAACATTATTGCAGTCATTTACCAGCACAAGGGAATTGTTATTCAGATATCCAAAATATCCAAAACTAAATTGACAACTAAATTGATAATTAGGAGAAGTACATACGAAGAATTTTGGCTAAAAGACAGTATTAAATCAAAATATGCTAAGGGGCTTGCTCAGGCTACATATATGCAACAAGGACAAAAGAGATTAAAATTAGCAATCCGAGTAATATAAACTTTGAAATAGCAATATAAAATACATATACATACTATAGGGTGTTTCGAGGTTCTGTATAAAACTGACAATACAGAAGAACACGTTCGAGAGTATCGACCTGTCCTGAGTTGCAAGGGCATACTCATAATGAATGTGGTGTCTTTTTGTATCTTCCAGCCAAAAGTGCTGAAGGGAGAGCACTGCATTGGGCTAAAGTGAAGGCCTTTCTCTGATTCAGGATGTTAAGCTGTGTGAAATACAGAGCTGGTGCCAGACTGTATCTCCGGCTTTTAAAATTGTAAGAGTCTGAACCTTTTCTCCTTCAAAAGCACAACATGAAAAATCACTAAATGCTCATAGACATAACTAGTAAGAGGTCTATAAACAATTTCTCAGTGGGATGCTATGAAAAATTCTCCTTACCACTGTTAGGTTTCGAATCTCATCCATGACCCGAGGCCAGAAAGACTGAAGACACTGCTGTGCATCACTGTTGCCTCCTGCAAAGCCCCCATCCGTGGACATTATGGTAACTGGAAAGAAACCAAAACGTATTAAAAGTAAGAGGGTGGGATAAGGTTTTTGAGTCTATATTTTAAAAGATGTAAAAGATGTACATGGTGGATGGTAAAGCAAAATAAAGATGTTCAGCAAGGCTTCAAACCAAGAACCTGGAAAGGATCTTCCTCAAATCCCTTTCATCGACATAGATTTTATTCCATCAGACTTTGGAACAATTTGGAAAGACTTGGTCAAGGATTCTGTAAGCTCTGATTCTATTCCTATTCCTTCCTATCTTCCTTCCATTGATTTAATTCAGATACTTTTATTAGTCTAAGACAATGATATGTGTATTTCATATGCAGATGTTATGCTCACTTAAACACAGGATTACTTCAAATAATCTGGTGGATTTACTTCTACATTAACCTGTACGGACTTGCTGTGTATATATATCTGTTAGGGATATACTTCGTTATGTCTTTTGAATGTTACTGCTGAAGCATTGGTTTTGATTGCAAATTAACTGCCTCCTGTGATGCTCTGGGAAACTCCTTATGATGTCCGTTTCTAAGATTCTGTGGCTCCTCCACAGACCGACAGTAGTACCAAGCAGCCATGCAATCCTGGAAAAAGGTATGGCTTCTTACACCAGCATCCAAAGGTGCTGCATTCATTCTCCAAGGAAATTTCTTGGTATCAAATGTAAAGCTCTGCACAGCTCTGCTATGGTAACACAAGGAAACAGAACTGAGGATCCTAAGTCAACTTAAAAAAAAAAAAATCGCAATATTTTGCTTTGGCATGCAGCCTTTATCTTATTACCAAGAAACAGTGGAGACAGTTATCTCTCAAGCATTAATTCCTGAACAGTCTGGAAGGAAAAAAAACCCACACAAAAGTTAATTAAAGACTGTGGTTGGCCCAAAAGTGTTCACTCCTAAGAGGCTGCCCTCTGTGTCTCCCCATAATTCTTCTCTTTTCCCTGCTTCTTTCCTTTCAGCTCTTTCTGAGATGATTTATTTATTTATTTTTATGTACAGTATTCAATTTATAACTTGAATTTCTACTCATAGCAGCAAGTTTCTACATTTCTCAATATTTGGTGCAACTGAAAGTGAGTGTCCAATGCAGAGATGTACTGTGGCTATTGAACCTCAGATGCTATAAATATATACAGATTCTCTACAAGGGTCTGGGCTTCTCCTTTTCCATTCAGAAGGCGCAAGAAATGGAAATTCATTCTAAACCCATCAAGTTAATTTCTTTGACAGGCAATTGTAAACATTCTTAGAGCGGATTTTTGTGGGAGAGAAGGGGAAGGGTAACAGCACTATAGGATTCATTCTTCTTTAGGAACCACACTAGCAGCAATCAGGATGGAGTGATCCACAAATAAAGTCAGGTTTTTTATCATGGGAAAACCATCTTTAGAGCCTATCAAATGTAGCAGCTGCAGAAGCAAATATACATACAAAAAGTCACAAGTATATATTGTGTGAACTGTGGAGAGCAGTTTGATTGTGGCAGGATGCAAATATAATAAAGTATATGGATGATGTCAACTCATGTCCTGCTTGACTTATCTAGAAGAAAGCATCCTGAAAGCTACAGCACACATACAGTAGCTGTCCTTTGAGGAGAAAGGGTCAGGCTAGTTTGGAGTGGTTTTATTTAATCCTCTCCATATCAACACAGTCCACACGATGGCTAGATTCACTAAAGCAGTAGACCACAATACACTCAGCTTAAGGTGATTATCTCATTTTTACAACGTGCTAAAATAAAGGCTGTGTTTCTACAACAAGCAGAACCAGAAACTGCCCAACTACATTTTAGCATAGTTTATCATTGCTGAGTAAATCTAACCTCATAAAGATTATAACCTTCTTTTATTTGCCCCAAATTTAATCATAAAAGGATACAAATTGACATTCAAGGTAAGTAGAACCTATGAGTTGCTCACTCAACCAACATGTCAGCTCTTCACCTATAATGGTCTGGATTTAAGAAGCATGACGATTTACTTTCCAAGAATTGGAGAATACTGACTTCCCTTTGTAATCATATGGAAAATCTGAATGGAGGACTACTTTCATCCAAACTAGAATGTCACAAATGACATTCTAGTTTGGATGAAAGGGGGAAAAAATTTACCTCAACTATGTAATATTTCTGAGGAACATTTCCTTAACAGTGAGCTCTTTCAATGCACCATATCTGCAGAGTAAAAAGGCACAACTGAAAGCGTAATGAGCAAATTTGAAACACATAATCTCTGCAAGTAACCCTAGAGTTATGGGTATAAAGAGACAGCACCCTTCCTCTAACATGCTAGGATGCTGGTTAGGGTTGCTATATGGCTCATTATTAGAGCATCATAGTGTTTTTAATAAAAATTTCACTTTCTGTGCGAAATAGGCCTGCATATGGAGGATGGGCTGGAAGGGAAGAAGAAAACATTAAATATTTTTTTTAAAAGGAACATCTACAGAAGTCAGGATTCTACTTAAGAGCAAAACTGAAAGTCTGCTTCTATATGGAAACAGTCTGGAAGAAAGTGATTATTTGCTTTTAAATAAGACAAAAAAAGGTTCGGCCAATGAATTTAAGTCCGCTAAATGTTCTCTTAGAAAATAATCCCAAAGGTGCTTTTAGAAATGACTGTGTTAAATATATCATTCAAAGTTTGCATAGAAGGGTAAGAGAAATGAAAGATTGCTTTATTTAAAAGTCTGAATGCATACAATCTTTTTATGTAGTGGCGTAATGGGAAATGGCTTGAGGCCAAGAACAATTCTAACATAAGTGGATATGATTCCCACTGACTTATGATCCATTGTGTGTGGTGGATTTTATTTTGGCCTTTTCTCCCTCCATCCCCTGCCATACACACACAATATAAGGTTATTGTTTAGAACAAAGTTGTCAAGAACCAATTACTGCATGGACTTTGGCTCATGCGGTGTAAAACAGCAAGTACTTCTAAATCATTCTATGAAGAAACTAATAGTAATTAGGTTGCTTATATACAACTATGAGGAAGAAATATACATATATACATACATAGAGTGTGTGTGTGTGTGTGTGTGTGTAT